GCATTCAAACTATCTACTTTTTTCGAAATTCTCTAAAATTTCTCTTGTTCCAGCATATTCGCAACTTTCGCTAGCGTAATTGCTGTCTAGTTATATATATGTCTGCAACTATTTAGTAAAATATCTTCGGATACATATTTTAAGTTGGTTCCTCATCTACGACTGGTGAAGCGGATAAAAACATTTTTGAAATAAAAAAAGTATTATATAAGACATTATAGATGACACCATAGCTTAAGTGTTGCACATTCTTAACGACATTTCAAACTATAAAACCAAGCCTTCTTCGTTAGAGGAATCTTAACCTAACTCTTGAAAGCTTGATGTTGATTTTTCTGTTCAATTAAGAAGAGATCAACAGATATTCTATACCATATTAGAGTATTCACAACGGGTTATGCAATCATATATAAAACATGCAGAAAATATTGATATTTCATATGGAAAAAGATCAGAAAAATATAGGTGCTCACTGTTTTCACAAAATTTGTCAGACATGGTTATGTTTGAAGCTTTGCCTAGACTTTCTTAAATCAAGAAATTCAAATATTCAGAATCAAAGAAACAAGTGTTCCATTTTATATTTCCATATCCGAATATGCAGTAAGTTTGATTTTTCATTAATAATTGGCTCTTACACATTCGTAAAAACCGAGAATAGCAATCACACGGATACTGAGAGCAAAAGAGCTAAGTTTGGTGAATCCAACAGCACTCCTATCGAACTTATCTTGTTTATATTAAGGAACGTTTGCTATTAAAAAGAATGTCATAGAAAGCTTAATTCTTAGGCCAGTTTCATTCATTCGCTGTACATATACTACACAGAATTACCTCACTTTACAATCCACAACGATCTTAATCCTTATAATCAATGTTATGACCGCAAAACTCATCTACAAGAAATGCGTAATCTGTGATTTTTTCCTTTCAAATCTAGTTCTCTGTTGTTTCAAAATCAGGATGAAAATATGATTTTTTTTTGATTTTTGTTCTTACTTATTTTTTCTGTACAATTAAAGTCATTTATTATGTACGGTAGCTGTGAGCATATAATAGCTGCTACCAGATATAACTAACACTATTTGAAAAAATAACAGTTATTAACAAATATAAATAATCATTCATTAGACTTATAACTGTCTGTCAGGCCATTTGGATTTTTTTATCTACTGTTAATTACTTATGTTGCTTATTTATATATTTGTTATATAAGTATACATACCAGCTATTATTTGTCAATAGCGATTTGAGTAATTATTCTTGGATATCAATTTTTTTGATCACCAAATTTATTAGCAGTGAAATGATCACCAAAAAATAAGATTTTTGATCACCAATCAATTAGAAAAGTTTAAATTAAAGAAAATATATGCAAGAATATATAGCAATTTAATAGAAAATTAATTAGTGGACAGACAAGAAAAAGAATATAAAGAGAGAATATATACAAGAAGTATGAACAGAAATATGAAACATATATGAAATATGTCAACAGTTGACGGTTTTCGAAATTGTATTGTCAACGGTTAAGTTTTTTAAACTTTCATTGGTTTTGTCAACTCACAAGAGCTATAAATACCTGCTCTATATTATAGACGATTTCAAAAATGTCGAAGCAAGAGTGAAAAGTATTACAAACAACCACATCATCCGAAGAAGCAAACGAATACGCAAAACAGTTTAATGTTTGCCAATATCGTCCATCAGATTTAAAAAACCATACAAAATATTCGTTCAAATGCAGTGACTATAGAAAGTATCCGCTTTGTTCTTTTGAAATTCGGATAACCGTGCCGATAGTGCCGGATAGTAATTCGCAATCAAGGACGATGATGTTCAGAAAAGAACATAAACACGAACAAGAAAAATACAATCCTACAACACGTTTACAATCACCCATTCGGAAATCGGTGTCAAAATATGTTAAATGTGGATTATCACAAACACAAATTCAATCATCATTAGTTCACTGGTGTAACGAACATAATGACTTCAACTTTTATGCCCTTTTATACTATTTTAGATATAAATAATATTTTCGTATTCTTTCAGTTGGATTAGGCATTGTATTCAACATGTACCAGGTGACGGACAAAACACGTTGTGAACCGTTGGGTAAGAGAAAAGGTAAAGGTCTGTTTTTCACTGTCTCATAGAGCTTATTATTTTCTATCTTTGATGGATACGCAAAAGTGTACGAATTGACGGCCATTGAAATACAGTATCCTGAAGATGACCATTGACCTGGTTAATAATCGTTAATTATGTGAGTAAACTATTATTAAACAGAAACCCCTCACATAATATATTTCCACTTACACTAATTGTAATTACTGAGGATGCTACTTTCTTTTGTAAATGAGTTGCTACTTATGTCAAATAAATATATTAAAAACCGTGATAAAATTGTGTCACACCTTTTTACACATGTTTTCATTTATTTTCTCTAAAAACATAAATTTGATGATCTATTAATATTATTATACCATGACACTCTCTAACAACTACCCAAGCATGGTCTTCAAATAACAAAAAAACATTACAGGGGAAATTATTAAATGAACAACCATTACCCTGTATTGAGAAGCCAAAGTACTGTACTGTACAGCTGCTTCTAAACTCTTCTCAACAATCCTACATGCAGTACCCGAATCTTTTAACTACTTAAACTCACATAATGCCGCTATTCTTTCTACTGTTTTTAAATATCTGAATATCTGACCGAAATTTGTCATAGAAACTGCAACGACTTATTCATCACCCAAAACAAAACAATTAATGGAACAATAGCTTCAGATCGAATTAATTATGTATTATTATGATGACCTGATAGAATAGACTCGAGTAAGTCAAGCTCAATAAAAACTAATTCGTTTCTTACAAAGCTTAAGATTATTATTAGTACATAAACAACTGCTTCGTCGGAAAACTAAAGTCCAGCAGAATTGCACAGACATCAGAAAACACAGCAAGACAAAAAATTTCATCAATTCTATAGTAAAGCGATGTAAATCAGACAAAACTATTAAAAATAATAATTATAAGGACACACATCACAACGACAAAGACATGGTCAACAAGTTACGCAAGCAAGAAGTATGCTCCTTTTGCATGTGATTATTCACTTCCAAAAAGATTATTATCGACGATACATAATGGTACTGCGTCACAGAAAAAATTTCATTCACCATGGATTATCATTAATGTAATATTTTATAGAAAAAGCCTTCACAACCTAGCAGTATACGCACATGATCATACTACGATGCAAGAAAATGGAACGAGAGAAGATCTCACATACTCTCCGTTGTTGCCTTGCTAATCAACACATTTCAATCTCACCACATGTCTTAATCCATATCGTGAGGATTCGAATGTCTCGAAAAGTAAGGTTTTGTCTTAATTTATATATAAATATTGAACTTGCAAAAAATACACAAAAAATAGGCATACATAAATATTCGAATGGCATATGCAAAAAATTCACAATGAAAAACATTACACATTATTATTGCAAATGAAATAAATAACTTATGACTTTACGATTTCCACGACCATTGCTTGGGTAGAACTTCGTGATAATCGGCTTTATATTGTTGTTGCTCAATAAATGTTTCTAAATCTTTTGGTTTTGGGTACAAGGCAGCCAATTGGTTATCGTATGCATATTGACATATATCCACAGCTATTTTACGTGAGACCTGGTGAATATTTTCAATAGGTGGGTAAACTCGACCCGTTTTCAAATCCTCATCTGTCACTTGATCGGCAAGAGATTTTGCTGCTATTAAAAACATTTCGTTGGGAATATGACGAATTTGACAACTAACGATAGCTAAGCCAACACCCGGAAATATGTATGAATTGTTGCCCTGACCAGGGTAAAATGTTTGACCTTTATAATTAACAGTTGGAAATGGACTACCGGAGGCGAATATACATCGACCATCTGTAGCCTGATACGCTTCTTCAGCTGTACATTCAGCTTTAGAGGTAGGATTTGAGAGGGCGAATATAACAGGACGTTTATTTACTTCAGCCATTTTCTCCAATATCGCTTTTGTGAATGTCGGCCCCTGTCCAGCAGCACCTTAAACGAATAATTTAGAAATTGCGGTTTTCCTCCTGCACTTGACAGAGAACGTTGTTTTCCTTAGCCACTTACCGATTAAAAACGTTGGTTTAATCGACTCAACGATTTCATCCAATTTTGTTAATGGTTGGTGTTCTTGAGCATAGCGCTTTTTTTCTTCATTGAGACCACCACTTGGACGATTCTATAAGGACAAATGCGAACTGCTCTTTGCAGTGCCTAATGTGCGACAGAATGATGATGCCGTTACCTTGACAATTAACCCTTTCGAGTCCACCAGCCAAATTTTTTTTCTTGCTTCTTCACTCGACATGCCTTCTCGTTCCAACGCTACGACGAGTAAATCTGACATACCAATAGATGCCTAAAACAATGGATTCAGAAAAGAAATCTCAGCACATTAGAAACGACGCCAATAACTAACCTCTCCAGCACCATAGAATACGAAAACATTATCGGACAGCTTTCGTTCAGTGATGCGTACACTTGATAATATTCCAGCAACAGCCACCGAAGCCGTTCCTTGAATATCATCGTTAAATGTGCAATAGTGATCACGATATTTTTCAAGTAAACGAAATGCATTATGATTGGCAAAATCTTCAAACTGAATCAAACAATTGTGTCCAAATCTAAATTATCTAATAAGAATATTGTAAGCCGAAGGCTCTACCTGAACTCATGTTACCTTTTGACAACAGCTTCCATAAATTCGTCAAGAAACTCATCGTATTCTTTTCCAGTTACACGCTTGCTGGAAATGCCCAAATAATATTTATCCTTCAATAATGCCTATGAACAACAAGTAGCAAGTGTCACAAAACGTTGCAAAGAGAACAAACTATATGGAAACTGAACTGCACAAGATCATACCAGAGACAGTTTGCTATCTGCTTCAAATATCCATATGAAACTATAGTGGAACGCCTAGAACATAGCTGCACTCACGTCATTATTTGTACCAACATCAAGTGTTACTGGTAAACAATACTGTGGTTGAACACCAGCCAAAGCGGTATATAACGACAATTTACCAACAGGTATACCTAACAGAAGATCGATGGCTACAAATGAATATTTCAGTTAGTTGAACATACCCATTCCATTACATCCCAAATCGCCCAAGCCTAAAATCCGTTCGCCATCTGTGACCACAATTGCCTAAAACAAACGAGTTTTCTTTTACAAGATGCTGCAACCATCGGAACAACGAAACATTGATTACGTATTCGAAACTCCTATGAATTGATGATCCTCCTCTGTACGTTCTACCGCTTACTTGAATTATCCAGAAATTTAAATTTGAAACTTACACGAACACTGTTTTCCGGCCAATTGCATAATACATCATAAATATGACCTTTGTCTTTAATTGAAACGAATAATCCCCTTGAAAAATTCACAAAATACCACCTCGAGCATCCAACAAAATCCTGGATAACTTACTTTGGTTTTGTAAATATAAGACCATATTCTGAAAATAGGATGTGGAGACAAATTATTCATCAAATTTTCAGATTACTATCAACTTACTTTGACATGCAAGTCCGACAGCTAAAATAAGGAAGAAACATCAGTTTATGCAAATCATGGGTTTAGACACTAACTCGGTGTGTAAACTAATGGCATGATTTCTTCAGTGTGTTCCATGCAAACTTTGTAAAATAATATTTCATTACGATCTTGTAACTAAAACAGAGATCAAAAATTCTAGATGACATATTTCAGAGGGCGAATGCACTCACAGCAGCTAAATGCATATAGCGTGAAAGATCATCTGGCATATTTCGTAGATTTTCCATAAAACGTTCAATTTGAATTTGTGGCGTAGTGACAGTTGGTGGTAATAGGCCATGAATTCGTAATACTTGACGCTCTTCGATGGAAAATGCTGTGCCCTATATTATTGAGAATGATGTGAATCCAGCAGTTCTCCTCGCTTTCTCTCTCTCTCTATCTCTCTGTATATATATCGTACTTTGTTTAATCGTTTATCGAGAAGGACATCGTAGCCGCTCACGGCGCGTTTTGGATGATCGGATGACATTTTGGTCTCGCCTAAAAACAAAAGTATAAGAAATAAGAACCACGTTCTAGATATTCTAGAATAGTTCTAGATACATTCTGTCACCATGCGTACAAGCAAATAAATGTACTCTACATTGATGGTTGCAAAGCGTTATAACAATAGTGAAACACAATAAAACAAGAAATATGGCAGGAAGTCAAATATTCTACTCTGAAGTCACAAAATCTTCACGGAGATTCGATTTCAGTCAAGGATGAGGAAACAGGGTGTTTATCTTCTTTACAAGTTATTTTTCAAATAATATTCAACGACAACGTCTCCTTCATTGAATCAATTCCATCTAAATGCTGAAAATTGATTAAATGATATCTAATATTACTGCTGCCCTGGCAAGGTGAGTAAGAAGTAAGATGAGACTAAACGACCTCGAAACTAGGAGAGAATGACAACATACGTGATTTTTTTTCTTCAAAAATTTAAGCCAAGAGGACAGTTGAATATGTATTATAAACGCGCACCCATGAGTATTGGAGGAAAAATGAAGGTAATTTTAGGCGCACAGAGCAAAAAATTTGAATATTCTGTTTTAGTCCGCCAATATTTAGATAGACGCATATTTAAATAATAGATTTTGTCTATCTATCGGGTGTCCTACGTATACATGCGCAAAAAAAAGAAGAGAGAACTGATAAAACACAAAATATTTTAAGATTATAGTAAAATTGTTCTTCTCCTTTTTTCTTCTAATCTTGTTCAAATAAAGCCCCGCTAGAAAAAGAAAAGAATAATAACGTTTTAGATTAGAACTAAAACAGAAACAATTCAAAATTTGTGAATATTGTCGAAATGCAATCGGAAACAAAACTATTATTTGAAGAACGTTCTTATAATTAATTATCATTCAGTCACGAGAATACGAGCTAGAGAACTCATGTACGAACACCATTCCAAGTCGCGTATACTGTAATCGAAGCAGAACTCGACAAATCACGTCTTTTTCAAGAAATTTTCTCATCTCAAGTACTAGGTCAGATGAATCATCACCACCCATTTTCTTTTATTTGCTCTCATAGCTCATCGGATCTTAATACTATGCACTGACATATCTTCACAGTCGAGCAGAACTACTCGACACCCATTTAAATATACTTGGAAAATGATGACGAATTATTAGCTAATTTTTACAGCCGTTTGTACAGAACAGGTGGCTCAATCATCCTGTTTAATATCGAGTTTTTCCCATGAAACACGGATCAGAAATAGTGGAATTACGAAGAAAATTTCGCTCTCTCCCTGAAGCTTTTCTTCGATGGTGCTCTATATAAAACAGTTCTAAATTATGTTGTATAAAATATGTACTGATATAACGAACACGACCGACTGAAATGTGCTTTGAAACCTTTAAGAAATCTCTTTGATTAAATGCTATTATAAAACCAACCAACTTTGTCCATCTTTTACTAAAAAAGGGAGAAAAGAGGAAGAGTAAGGAGCAAGGTTGATTGAAAAAACAAAACAGTGGCACTATAACTTGCATTTTTCTGAGGTTCGTTGAAAAATTCCTCATCTTTTGTCATTGTTCATGTTTATAAATTTCTCATACTCTCTCCTTGTTGTTTATAAAAACTAAAACAATCAATCCAAACATGAAATTAGTTGCATCTGATTTCATTCGTTGAAATCTGATTGACGATGAAACATCTCCTGTCAAAATAACGTGTTAAGATTTTCATTCTAGTTGCATGCAAAGAAAGATGACAGCTTTATGAGAAGATAAGTGATTGACTAAACTACATCTAATTAAACATTCTCTATAGATCACAAAGCGTAGATAAATATGGAAGCATTATAGCGCGTTACCACATCACCAAAATTTAAGCAATCGGCATAATTTTTTTGATTGTTCGCTGCCAACGACGACAAAGAATTCGTTTTGATCACATTTTTTATCTGATGATTCAATTGTTTTCGTAAAATAATATTCAATGGTTGATGATAACGAAGAATAGCGCTTTTCATTTTGTACATAATGCCAAAACTTTTAAGTGAAATGTCAACTTGGACAGGTAAACGAATATGCCACACATTGTTTGGAAGAGCAAAAAAGAATCACTGAATAGATGCACGTGAAAGAAAATAGAGAGACCATCTCTCGGTATAAGTGAACATTTCTCTCTCTTTTTTTCTCTGCTATTCTTTTACTCTACATATATATGCCTTTTCTTTCCTTTTTATATTTGTGATGATAACAGAAAAGAAATGAACAGCCAGCCATGCATCCTTACGGTAAGTGTGGGTCGCTATACACCACTATTCACCTAAAGTTCTTTCGTTCGCACAGTGGAGGAGAAAAGAGCGCGTTGTTGTTCTCTTTTTCTTTCAAGCAGACACTCGAAGAGACATGTTTTAGAAGATTGCTTTTTTTATGAAATGGAATTACTGGCCACTTTCAGTCATCGATGCGAAATTGACATTAAAATAAAACAAAAACAGAAAAGAACGAGGTTAGTCAAATATAATTCATACACTCCATCACGGCTGCCGATCCACGTTTTCCACGTTTAACATTACGACATGGACGTTTACCAACACTTAATTTTGATCAGAATCAAGATCAATTTTTTTTCCCCAGAAAAATCCCTATTGTTACATCATCATTAACTAGTTATGACTATGATGATGATAAATCACAAAAAAGTATCTCAACGTTACCACGCGTTCAAATAGTAGGTACACCGTACACCGACATCGATGATCATATCAGCGAACAGATTCCTTCAACAATAGCGACAGTGCTCCCTCATATTGCAAAACAAGAACGTCACAATACTGTGTGTTTAGAAGACGATAGTAACGAAGACGAGAAACCTCAGCAGCAGCCAATATCATTGCCATCACTTCGACAGTCACCATCGAAACGATCTCAAGTTGATCCTGATATATTTCGTAAAGCGTACGAGAAAGCCCTGTCTGTCGCTCGTAGTAAAATGCTTCAAACAAATCACTATTCCCTAGATGCCAGCAGGATAACAAATCGTGTACTCTACTCATACTTCTCACACACACCCTATTGTATGTTCAAACCCACGACATGCACACATAAACACCAACGACAAGATAAAGCGTCACTGTTATCAAAAAAGGTCAAACCGAACCAAATACGAAAAAATATATTCGACGATGTCATTGTAGAAAATTATATTCGATGGTAGTTACCACTATTTCGGGCAAAAGTCAACCTTTTTACATCTAGGTCATTAAAATGTTTCTTAGTTTTTTTGTTTTGTTGTATGAGACTCATTCAGTAATAAAGAAGAGTAATTGTTGACAAGAAGGTGTACTATGGGACTTCGAGGCTGGGCGACTGCTATCGTTTGAAAGCGTGACTATATCCATCATAGTATTTGAAGGTCGGTTGATACATTTGAGACCTATCAAGATTTACATTAAGTTTCATATCTGTCCACGATTCTATGACATGTATTTAATCCAAAATTGTGTGAATTCGAAGTAATTTACCGTAAACTTTGATTATGCATCGTACATGTTGAGGTTATAGGTTTCAGCATTTCATAGACTTCTAATAGTGTATTCAGTAGTGTTCTGAAGGGTTTCTATAACTCTATAA